TATTTTCTGCATTTAACAATTCTGCTTCTCTTTTCTCTCGTTCAATACATTCGGTAACTGTAGTAAATAAAAATTCTTTAACAAAATCAAAGTCATTTTTAAATTGATCACTTTTTTCTATCAAATCTTTTAAATCAACAACTTTATGCTCCGATTTTACTTCTAAACCTAATTCTTCGGCAGCTCCGACCAAATCTTCTTTTTTCATCCCCCTTATGTTAAACATAATTGTTCTATTTATTTCTATTCCCAAAATAATTATAATTTCTCTAAATCACAATTATTCTCCTTTTTAAGAATATCACTTAAAATCAATACTTCTCATAATTCAATTCTTAATTGTTTTTCATAAACAGAATATGATAAATCTCATACCTTGATTTATGCTCTGTTTCTCGTATGAGAGCGTGCTGTGATATAACGTATAATTTTTCCTCCTTTTCCCTTCTTCATTCAGATACTTCCCAAAATCACAATTGGCCAAATAAATGGTAACCAGTTAACAACACAAATATTTATTAACAAAGAAAAAAAAAACGAAGTTTGAAGAAAATTAATATAATTAATCCACCTAAACAATTCGCTTCCGCTCTCCATCAGAGCGTTCCCTCCTCTGTCTGCGCCATCACAACATGGAGGCATGACATTCGGTATCAGTTTAAAATTGATTCAAACGCTTTAATTTTTTTTAAAATATTTAAGCTATAGCAAAAGTGACACTAGACCTAGTATATACTTCGGACATTTACGAAAGGTCTAGTCATACTAGGTCTGGTTAAGTGCCATTGCCCGGTATATCCTGCACTGATGTTTTTTAAAGGTCAAGTGCCACTGCCCGGTATACATTTGCTCGGTGTACCCTACACTGATGTTTTTTTTAAGGTTCAGTGCCACTGCCTGGTATACCCTACACTGATGTTTTTTTAAGGTCAAGTGCCACTGCCCGGTATACCCTACACTGATGTTTTTTAAGGTCAAGTGCCACTGCCCGGTATACCCTACACTGATATTTTTTTAAAGTCAAGTGCCATTGCCCAGTATATATTTGCCCGATACCCCAAACACTATTGTTTTTNGATGTTTCTTCTAATCTATCATCAGTAAGTATTAAAATATCGAATAAATGTAATTATATCCACGAATAAATTAGTATAAAATTGGATGTAATAAATATTTCGGACATTCACCAAAGCGACTAATTTGATTGTCAACATTCACCGGTCAACATTGGCCAGCCAGAATCACACCACACGCATGTGGTTGTCCCATTGCTGTCAATGAATCAAAGTGCCCAAAGAAGTAATAGCGGGATTTATAATGACCGGGCAATGTGAGAAATTATCGTAAAGTAATTCAAACTTATCAAATTGCCCAATTTTAATGGTCATAATTCATAATAACTATGCATTATGAATTATGAATACTGATCTAAATAATTACATTGCCCGTAACATATATATTCAATGTTTAACAATCATTCTATTTTTTAAGTCCTTAATTTTTCGAAGAAGTTCTTAATTTTTTCAAGAAAAGGTCCTTAAAAGTGCTTAATTTTTGCTTTGTTAAAAGAGTGGGAACCCTGTGGTACTTGTAAGAGGCTGTGATTCCCTGGAGGAAAATTTTGCAAGGGCTTTTTTGTTGAAGAAGATTGAGTGTCTGTCGTGCTACTGGTACAATATTGACATTTGTTTTTCATCTTTATTTTTTAATACTTTGGTGTGTTGTTGATCTTTAAATATAAAAACCAATCACCACAAAAGATAAAATAAGGAAGGGTGAAATTAAAATTTAGGAGGATCAGTTCAACAAATAGAACTTTCAATTTAAAGAAGAGAAAAAAAAATCAACTGATAGACTACCCCATTAGGTACAACACGCCAAATTTTAAGGTTTGAAGTGGTGTGTGTGTGTATATATATATATATATATATATATATGTATATATATATATATATATATATTCATACATATACAGTGAAACCTCCTGTTATGGACACTCCTGTGAAATGGACCCTTCCCAATATGGACATATTTTTGATTCCCCATGAATCTTCTAGGCAAAAAACCATTATCAGGGATGTGATTCTTCCGCGGATTTCCGCTTATTTTCAGATTTTTCCATTTTTCCCGCTAATTTCCGCAGAAATTTTTTTTCCGCACATGTTAAAATATTTTATGAGGAATTTAATTTTCCATGGAGCGAAAGCATTGAAGTCCTCATTCCTCCCTCTGAAGTGTCTCTAAAAATTATTTCCTTGGGAAAAAACTGGTTGACCTTTAAACAAGGATTAGATTTTTTCGCTTTTGTCTCTCGAATATCAACCTTTTTATCAAAAACTCAGATTCTCTAAAAGTTTCGGGTTTTCTTTATATAAATATCCCGCTTTTTTTTTTTTTTAAATTCAGTCGTTGCAATAAAATAATTATATTTATTTACGATTTTCAAAGATTAACAGAAAGTTCAAACTTCGTCCTAGATGCTAACCTTTCCACATTTTTACTTATTTTAGCTATTTTCTCCTTAGCTATTCCTCTATTTTAGCTATATCTCGTAATATCAAACATCGATTTTCGTATTTACACGTGCTTTGAAAATTAGACATTGGGATTCGTGTTCGCGTGATTTAAAAATTATGCATCGTGATTCATATTTACGTGATTTAAAAGTTACGCATTGTGATTTGCATTTTCACATTTTTTAAATTCGATATAGAGTTTCATATTCACGTGATTTAAAAGCCTCATATCAGGATTCATATTCGCTCAATTTAAAATCATGCATGTGAATTTTATTCATATGTTCATACAATTTTTAAATTAATCTTCGGGATTTATAATCACATGGCTTACAAGTTTAAAAATCACACTTTTTTGATCAAATTTTTGGATATATATATATGTATATATATATACAAATAAAAATAATTATGATAAATATATTCACTCATTCTTGAATTACCTCTTTTTTACTTTCTGACTACTCTCATCCCTGCTTTATGTACATTCTCCGCAAAGCGGGCGCTCCCGTAACCAGGCGCTGGCAGTCATCTTTGCCCTGAAACATTATTTTCTATCTCTTCACACCAGACGCTATATTTTCTAAATTTGAAAAAAAAAAAAAAATTGTGCTTTAAATTGCAAGAAAACTAATTTTTCACCACTTTTAAAACATGTAAATTTTATGCCTTATAAATAACTAAAAATATTGTTAAGCTATTTCACTACTAAAGAATCAATCTTTCTGACTGGTTGGTCACTTGCCTTATATTTGCAAAGAAAGGAAAGAAAATGATACTGCTCATTAGGACGATGACATCTTTTGATCTTTTCATCAGGATGATGCAGGTTATGAGACCCTACAAAGCTTCTGCCCTTGACAATGCCTTAAATGCTCTCAATGCTTTTTCCCCACTGAAAATTTTTTTCATTTTCTTATAAATTTGAAGACTGCATTTAAAACAGCTAAGGTAAAAAAAGAGAACAGAAATGTAATCTTCGAGATGTTTAATATAAATGAAGCATTTATTCAGACACTTGATGGGTGATTAAATGTGAATATATCAACTCCATAGTTCCTTTTACCTTACAGGTAAACATTGATTTCTTTTGTTTTCCGTGAATCGCAGGAGGTTTACCTTCAGGGAGGTAATAATCACATTTCCTATCAATTGATGGGCAAGGGGCTGTAAACCTAATAATTGAAGCTGACTGATGACTTAAAGCTCCTATTCAGTATCATATGCCTAACTTGAATACCTGTGTTAATAGAAAAATTATATTCATTTATCTGTAGCTACATCTAGAATTATGTATTCATATCAAATTTTTTCATATATTCTTTTTGTTTAGAAATTTTTTTTAAAGTTTAATCAAATATCCTTATAGACAGTTATTGTAGATTATTTATATATCATTGAAAATATTCTTAAAACAATTTGCTGTGATAAACTTCATTATTATGGTACTCTTCCTGTCAATTTTTTCGGTCCCAAGAGTGTTCACTTAACTGAGGTTTCACTGTATGTGTGTGTGTGTGTTAGTTTAGTACTCTATAATAATGCACCCAACTTAAATCGAATGATTTATATCAACCTTTCTTTAATAAAGTGAGTTAAATCTTGATTTTAAACCCCCATTATTTAAATCATGCCTAATCTTCTTTTGTGTGTACCCTATTTTAATTTAATTTAAAATGTTTTCTTTTTTACCAGCTACAAATCAAAGCAAATCCAAAATTGTGCAGAGGCCAATGAAAGTATTGCAAAGAAGTTTAAAGCCTATGATAACTTCATCAAGTGACATTAAATGTGAACCAATTAGTGTTGATCAGCAACTTAGTAGTGTTCAACCAAAGGAAGAGATTAAATTTTCTCCTGATATTTGTAAAAATGAATTTCCTAATCCAACAACTATCTCTTCTAAAGACTATGCACAACAAAATTATCAAACTCAATATTCGATGAAAAACAGTACATCACAGCAATTTTGTCAACAGACCTACCAAATGCCTCAAAATCAGCATTATGGTAACTCTGCTCAGTTTATGTCTCAAAATAATTCACTTCTTACGACTCAGAATAAAACACCAACATTACATTTTTCTCAATCCGCTACTCAGCAGTATGGGCAATCTCAGAATCAGTGCACCTCAGAAAACCCTGACACATTTTCTCAGACAAGTTCTCAATTTCCTGTTCCTGCAAATATTGAAGAAAATTCTACTTGTCCATCCAATTCCCTATCACAAGGAAAATCACAACCAAGTAATTCAAACTATTCTCAAGAGTCTGATGTTCAAAAAACATATGGGCAAAATCAATCTCAAGCTCAATTTCCAAGTCAGCAAAGCACTCAAGATATTAATTTCCCTTTATCTCCCCCATCTTCTAGCCAAAAATGTATTAATCAACCTTCTCAGTTGTATTCACAGCAACAAAGTTTTTCTTCAAAACAACAACAGAATTTTGAACAACAGTCTTTGCAATATCAAAATTCTAGTTCTAAAAATGTTTCACAACATCCATATTCCCAAATGTCTCATACTTCAGAGAAAACAAACTCTCAATTTTCTCCACAAAATGTATTTCAACAATCTCCTCCTCATTCTCAGTTTACTCAAACTCAGAATTCTGGTCAATATTCTCAGCAGTCATCCACATCTGATTCTCAACAGTTTTCTCAACCGTTTTCTCAGTCTACGCCTGAGAATCAATTTTCTCAACCTACTTCCACTCCACAGCAATCTCCTACTCAACCTAAATTTTCACAGTCTTCTCCAAATCAGATTTATAATCAAACGTTTTCTCAACAGAATACTGAATATTCGGTTTCGCAATTACAGTATCAACAGCAAAACAATCAATCGTTTCCACCTCCGCAAAGTCCTCAAACTAACTTTAATCAAAATTCTCAAACTTTTCCGGAGTCTTCTCAACATTATTCAGATCAATCTTTGCAGCAGTTTTCACAAACTAATTATTCCCAACCTTATGCACAAACTGGGCAGCAGTTTCAACAACAAAATACTGGATTGCAAAATTTTCCTCCTACATCTCAACAAAATAATGCGCAGAATTTTTCATCAACATCTGTACAAAATACTGGTCAACAAAACTTTACGTCCTCTGGACAAGCAGGTTTTTCTTCATCTCAACAGAATTATTCAGCCTCTCAACAAGCTACTGGACAAAAGTTTAATTCACCATCTCAACAAAATACTGAACAGAATTTTGCCACTCCAACCCCAACCTATTCTCATCTTTCATCCCCAGTAGGAAAAGCTGGTAATAAGCAAGACCATTCCTTTGCTCTTCAGCCTTCAAACAATTTGCAGTTTTCTCCTTCTTCCTCTAAAAAATTGTGTAAATCTCCTACTCCTGGTAGTAGTGCTCAACAAAAATTCACCCAACAAATGTCATTTACTTCTCAAAAGCAAACTGACTCACAATATTCCCAGCAAGGGAATTCTTTTTGTTCCCAGTCTCAGAATGATGATCAATCATTTTCACAAAATTCACAAGCTTCTTTTCAGTATCCACCTCAAGTAACTAATAATGTACCTCAATATGGCCAAGCAGCTAAGCCATATCCTGGATATAGCCAAACATCTCCTCAATATAGTCAATCTGGTAATCAAACTGGACAATATAATCAACCAACACAATATGGACAGCAAGCTGCTCAGTCTTCACAATTTTCTCAGCAATCTAACTCTCAACTTTCTGCAAAATCCCAACAATATTCCCAAGCTACATCAAGTGATATATTCTCTCCAGCATCAAATACTACTCAATTCAACCAGAATGTTCAACCTTATTCCCAGGTATCTCAAACTGCTCAACCATCTCAAAATATTTCTCAGTTTGGACAACAGCCTGTTTGTCCTCAAAAGTCTTCACAAATTTCTCAGTATCCTCCGCAAGTCCAACAATCTACTCAACAATTCTCCCAAAATTCTGGGCAAACTCAGCAATGTCAACAAACTCAGTCATCTCCTCAGTATTCTCAACAGCATAATCAAAATAGTCAGGAAAATTCTCAACATTCTGGTATTAACTCTCAGTCATTTTCTCATCAATCTTCTCAAGACTTTAGCCAACAATCTTCACATTCACAGCAGTTTAATCATCCAACTCAACAATTTAATCAACAGAATTTGCAGTCTTCTCAAATAAATCAAACTCAACAATTTTCTCAGCAACCCATTCAAACAACCCAGTCTTTCTCGCACCAAATTAGTTCAAATACTTTAACTTATAAGCAGTCATCTCACCAATTCAATCAGCAATCTTCACAACAAACTCAACTTAATCAACCAACTAGCCATTCAACTCAGTCATATTCTCAAAAAACTCACGTTGGCCAATATTCTCAACAAACAAGCCAGTCTTCTCAGTTTCAACAACCTTCTCTACAATTTAGTCAACAAGTTCAGTCTCCACAACAATTTTCACAACCATCACTTTCCCCTCAGCAATTTTCACAACAGCCTGCACAGTCACCCCAACAGTTTACTCAGCAATCTAACTCATCACCCCAGTTTTCTCAACAGTCTAATCAATCTCCACAGCAACCAAATCCAACATCCCAGCAATTTGGGCAGCAATCTATCCACTCTCCTCAACAGTATAATCAACCAACACCTTCCCCTCAACAATTAGGACATCAACCAGCACCATCACCTCACCAATTTGTCCAACAACCTGCTCCATCACCACAGCAGTTTGGGCAACAACCAACTCCATCACCTCAGCAATTTGGGCAACCAATACCCTCACCTCAACAGTATGGGCAGCAGCCTGCACCGTCACCGCAGCAGTATGGGCAGCAGCCTGCTCCATCCCCTCAACAATATGGACAACAGCCTGCTCCATCACCTCAGCAGTATGGACAACAACCTACTCCATCTCCACAGCAGTATGGACAACAGCCTGTACCATCACCTCAACAGTATGGACAGCAACCTACACCATCTCCTCAGCAATATGGACAACAACCAGTTCCATCACCTCAACAGTTTGCCCAACAACCACCTCCATCCCCACAACAATATGGGCAACAGTCTACTCCATCGTCTCAGCAGTATGGGCAGCAATCAACATCTTCACAGCAGTATGGGCAGCAACCAGCAGCTTCTCCTCAACAATATGCGCAACAACCAACAGCATCTCCTCAACAGTATGGGCAGCAGCCATTATTGTCACCCCAACAATTTGGGCAACAGGCTTCATCCTCACAATATGGACAGCAGTCTGCATCTTCTCAATATGGACAGCAGTCTGCATCTTCTCAATATGGACAGCAGTCTGTTTCTTCACAGTATGGGCAGCAACCCAATTCTTCTCAATATGGACAGAAACCTGTTTCGTCTCCACAATTTGGGCAGCAATCATCTTCTCAACAATTTGGTCAGCTGTCTCTTCCATCATCTCAGTTTGATCAACAATCAGCTCAATCTCCTAAATTCCCACAGCAAGCAACATCTGGAACACAACAATTTTCTCAGCAAGTTAATACATCGCCACAACAGTATTCACCTCAGACAACAGCTACACCACAATTTCCTCAGTCATCACAGCAATATGGGGCACACAATGCACAACAAACTTCACAGACGACTGCACAATTTTCTCAACCTACTCAAAATTCAGCATCAGAAACTTATAACCAACAATCGCTGCATTCAGGTCAGTCTTCTCAGTTTCAAATGCAGCAACAACCTCAGCAGTTTTCCGGCTCATTTCCTCAAATATCAAGTCAAGCATCTAAGAATAGTTTCCAGTCAGAATATCAAAATCAATTGCAAGCAAATTTTCCTATCCAACAAGGATTGCCTGGTCAAAATGTTAATCAACAAACAGTTAAACAATCATCTCGAGGTGGTAAAGCCAAGCAAGGCCGGGGAAAAGCTTGTCAGCCTCTGTTGTCTCATACTTCCTTACAACATTCTGTGAAACAACCACCATCATTTTCAGTTCAAGCTTTTCAGAATAACTCTGTATCCACTCCACAGCGCCAAGCTAAATCCCAAAACATGAAATCTATCCAATGTGCTAATAATAGTTCTTCCTTTCAACCTCTGGATACCTCAATAATTAATCAAGATAATTTTACTTTGCAACATATTAAGCAAGATTCTCCTGGGTCATTTTCAGCAAAATGCTCTAAAGCAGTTCTACAAGTAAAACCACAAATAATGTGTACAGACTCTGTGCAAAATTCTCAAAGTAAAGATTCTATGCAGCTGGAAAATGAAACACAAAACTCAACTAATTCAGATGTGATGCCTTACAGAGATAAAATGGACTCTTCTATTAATTATGAATGGGTAAGTTTCCTTTTTTCTTTTAAGTGTAAATATTTTGAAACTAGAAAAGCTTTAGATTTTAAGATGCTAAATGCTGTAGCATCTTGATTATTCAAACCTCTTAACTGAATATTTAAATTCTGAGGTTGTTACATACACAGATTTTCTTTTTTACTACCTTTTGCAATTAATATTGTGTTGTGGTGACTTAATACTCCCTCTCCAATGTTTGTTCTTTATTCTAAGTATTTTCTCCTGTATTGCCTTCCAGATAATACCTAGTGAAAGAATTTTTTATCTTAATTCCTCTATCTCAAATCCTATAAATTTTGAACCACATATAATGATAAAAGTTTAAGTCAAGATATGAAATTCCTCAACTGTATCACTAGTTTAGTAAATGAACGAGGCAGTTAAGCAATCTTTTCATAGGTCCTTATAATAGATAACGATTTTATACTGCTTGACTTACAGACATTAAACATTTTCTGTGAGCAATCAGCAAGTAATTCTAGTTGGCTGATTTGGTAAGAAATCTTATTATTCATCTGTTTATTTATTAGTGTAATTTAGTTTAACTGCTGTATAGCTTCCACTTCTACTAAAAAGAACATGTGTTTATTGTGTAATCTACATTTTAGTGCACAGTATGTAGTGTTTTTAAAAAGTGCTTATTTTTGATTTTTGTTTTTTAAAAGCTCTTAAAGATGTTTTTTTTTATTGGGTGTTTTTAAAAAGTGCTTAATTTTCCCTTTTTTAAAATGAGATTTTTTTCTTTACCATATTGATTTTCGCCACGTATTATGCAAAAGCTTGGTTTTCACATTGTTCTATTCAAAGTTTTCACGATTCATTCAAACACAATGCATTTCGGCGTACCGTCGGTCTGTTAGTATATGCAAGTGCGAATCATTTTATATGTTTGATGAAATAATTGTGGATCAGCATGAGCATCTACTGAGCTGTGTTTTGTGAGATTCCTGCACTCTCATGTGCAACTTTGTTGCATTTTGCAAGAGCACATTTAAAAAGTCATTTTACACATTGCGAAAAATAAGAAAACTACCATCTTCCAAGCAGGTCAATATCAGTTCACTATTTTATAACAATTTGTGTATAAATTTATTTTTGATTTTCCCTGATGATCACAGAAAGTCTGCAGAAAATTGCTGGGTACCGCATCGGCAGGTACCCTGCACACCACGATAATTTAACTTAGAAATAAATACGAATAGACAGAAACAGAACAGAAAAGAAAAATTTTAAATATTTCGTGGTTTAATATTTCAGCTCTTAATTTCTATAAACCTCTTAAAAATTTTGAACTGCTTAACATCTTCTGCATTTTAATAATTTCACCTGCTATATTAAAAATTGAGGTTGACAGGTATTCATTTGTTCACTCAATGAATGAACATTATTTTTTGAAAGTATACGAATTGCTGAAACAAAGATTTTATATTTTTAGAGAATATATAAATTTATTCTATTTCTAATAACAAATATTATTAAATTTAATCACCTTTTTAAATGCTAGAAATGTATTGTTAATATTATTTTTTATAGGCAATTCCTATAATGAAAGATTATGTTCTTGGAGTTTTGGAAAACAGTCATAAAATGATGGTTCTTTTTGTCATAATTGCTGAAACATTACACATGGGTGACAAATTGCTAGTCTTTAGCCAATCACTTTCAACTTTAGATTTGTTGGAGCATTTTCTAGGAAAAATACAAGTACCACCAAAACCAGGCCAAATTGAAGAAATCACTACCGAAACATGGTGCCGAAATAAAAACTATTTTCGTAAGTATATTTTTCTTATAATAAATAATCTTGTTACTATTAACCATGTACTGATATATGAAACAAAGGTATCTAAAATTTTTCACTCCCTTTACATTTATACAGTCTATGTTCTTTAGTACAACCCCCATTGCTGCAATCCTCCCATTATAACAACTGATACATGAAGTCTCTTTTGCTGTTCCAGGGTCACCAAGTTATTTTAACACCCATTAAAACTTCTGAACTGAACCATTTATTCCATAACAACTAAAATTTTGTTTAATTTATTTTAACTCTTAGAAAATCACTCCAAAAACATGTAGAGGATGATTAGATACTGTGATGAGGTGATTTGAAGAATGAGAATCCAATTAAATAAATTTAATAACATTTAAACATAACCAATTTAAATTGAAAGGACAGAAATAATAGCGTTCTTTCTCCTTGAGTGTGAGAGCATGACTGGCTCTCATTGGTTTGTGATAAAAGTGCAAAGGGAAAAGAGAAACTTTAATAATTGATTTGGCTGTAAATGTTTCCTAACAGCCCCTCCCCCTGGAACGGGGTCATGATACATACATTAACAAATTTACAACATAAAGTAAGACTATTAAATTAAGAAATATTTAATATCTTTCTTCTTTCAATCTTTTAATGAAATGCAATGTAAAATTTACGAAATATGATAATAATGTAAATTATATAATATGTTCTGTAACAAATCTTTTTTGAAAATGCTCACACCAGCCTGATCTGGTAATAGTAATAGGCTTTTCATTTGCATTCGGTGATGAATCAGACTCTGAAGATGAATTATTTGATATTAAACTATCTGAAATTTGACATACCAAGCAACACAATGGGTAAAACTTTGGACCATTTCATTGTATTATGTGCCATAATAGCACTTTTTAAATGACAATGCAATCTTTTTTGTAATTCTTTTGGAAATTGAATGATAGCAATTACTACGAATTTAATTTGTTCCAAGAATGTTAGTAAGTTCTTGGAATCGTTTGGATCAGTAGTAATTCCTTGTGCAAAAATATATCTCTATAGCTGAAAATAGGCCTCACTTGCCTACCTAGAAGAAATTCGATTTCCTCCCTCAAATCACCCCCATTTCTCATACAGAGGAGTGAGTAGTAGTTTTTAGGTATCATTTATAATAACATAAAGCTTTTGGTCAAAAAATATATTGGTTATTAATTTCACCAAATAAACACTTTTTTTCCTTAGCTGTAATTATTGGACTAGATGGTAAAGAAGTTTTTAGCTTTTTTCAGATATTATTGACGTAATTTTTTTGTCTAATTATTTAACATGCAATTTTTATCTAAATATGGTTTAAGCCTTTTTTTAAGTTTTATTTCTACAGAAAACTTGTAGAGTAAATGTTCTTAAGCAGAAATTCTTAGTTATTCTTTGTTGCATTTCTAATACATTATTTTTATTTAGTAATGCATTTTTTCCTAGCTCTGTTGAATAGGGTATTAAATGTAAGTTTATATGCTCAGATAGCCGACCGGCCTGTGTAGGGGGCAGGGAACTGTTCTGGCATCAGAAAGGTTCTGGGTTCGAATCCCGAGCAAGGCATGGATGTTCTATCCTTTTCTGTACTATCTGCCCTCACTGTGGGAGCGGCGTTGGCCCACCTAATATGGTGCCCCTGAGAGAGAGGCGAACAAAATCGCCCTGTATATGCCTGAATTGATGGATAACACAGGTGGGCATTGGAAAAGAAAAAAAAATATATGCTCAGATATGCCTGAAAACATAATTTTACAAGCATGCATTGTGCTGTTCCAAATATAATAATGATTTGCTCCATAAACCAAATTTACTTGCTCCAAAGTTTATATATTGCTGTTCTATCATTATATATTTTTAAAAAAAATTATTAGACTTCAATCATGAAATTTTTACAAAATGTTATGCTATGCTCTCCTTATGAAAGCATTTTCATGCATAGAAAACTGAACTGTTTTAAAATATTTTCTTTAATTTGTGTGCCTGTTTATGTGAAGCTGAAATAAATTTTTATACATGTGTAGGATTAGATGGCAGCACTTCTGCTCAAGAAAGAGAAAAACTTATAAATGAATTTAACCGAAATGATAGTGTTTCACTATTTCTTCTATCTACAAGAGCTGGATGTCTTGGCATCAACTTAGTTGGTGCAAATCGCATTGTGGTTATGGATGCTTCTTGGAATCCTTGTCATGATGCTCAGGTATGTTAAATTTGTTTATAAAAGACTGATAGGAGTGGAGTCTCTACACAATTTTTTTAAGCTATGTTCATTATTTTACATTCATCAATATTTAACATTCCGAACAGAGGAGATTTTTAGGACAATATCTGATTATTCAATTATATGATATAAATCTAGTTTTGGCTACACTAAAGCAATCAGCTGAAAGTTTGGAAAAAATGGGATGAGAGAAGAATTACTTTATGTGGAAAAACATTATGTGGAGAAACATTACTTTATGTGGAAAACAAAAAGTTCTGAAGTTGAAAAAAAAAATTCCTGTTTTAATATATATAAGAATTATAAATATACATATTTTTTTCACAAACCTACTAGTGAAATGTTTCATGTTATTTCTCTGAAATACTAAGAAATTGGAATAAAAAATGTTAGGAATATTGTTATAACTGTAATGTAATTATTTTTATTATTACAATTTGTTTTCCTTTATATATAGTCGAATGCTAAAGCTGTTTGATGCTGAATAATCTTTTATGAACTTTTTCATGTACTTTTTTTTTTCTTCTAACACTCCACATAGTTTTCTGGATTTATAAACTTTTTTTTACAGAAAATTTAACTGTGCATTATTCCTAAAATTGGCTAAACCTTAAAATTGTAAATTTGTTTTGCTATACTTTTCTGTTCAATCAAAAATATTGTTACTAGTAGCGAATTTTTGTTGTATTGAATGAATGTTTCACTGGAATTCTCTAGAAATTGCTTTAACTTATTCCAATTAAGACTCATTTTGGACCAGGCAACAGTCGCAACCAACCGCAGGGTGACTAAATATAAAAAATGGCAAAATTGACTGTAAATCACTATTAATTAGTAAAAGAATACAAAATATTGAATTCTAAATTGACAAAACTATCTTTGAAAGAAACGCCCTTAAAAGCAGCAGAATTTTCAAAAGAAAGAATAATTGAAGCAATAAAGAAAACAATGGAAATAAAAATATGACCACCGAAGCCGACATCTTCAGGGGGTACCTTCCTCGGAAGCAATAAAACAAAACCTTTTCTATTGAGAGAGAGGACAAATGCCAAAATTAACTCTCTCAGTACCCCGAAGGTTTTGTAGAAGTCCAAGAAAAAATACATGAAATACATAAAACCAAATCAGAAAAGAAATTTCAACAAAATTTTGAGAAAATAAAAACTCACATTAAACCGGTCAAACAGCAATTTCACAAACAAACTAAATGCAAAGAAAACCCTAAAACAAAAGAAAACAACGCCCTCTATTAAAATGCGCAGAATGAAAGAAAGAATAGTAAAAGAAAAGATTACGTAACAATTTAGTTTAATGCTTAACTGGGGCTGCTCAGTTAAGACTTGATTTTCGCCCTGTTGAAAGAAATAATAAACTAGTATTCTTCAATCATTTTCTTAATCAAAAAATTAATATTACAATAATTAAAAAGAAAATCATTATTTCTCAAATTATTCAAAAAATTATTCACAGCCTCCTGAAAACTTTCAACGTTATTGCAAATATTTTTTATCCTAACCAATTGTGGAAAAACTAAATTTTTGAAAATTTTATTACGCAGATTAGTATTAAAGTTGCAGAAATAAATAACTCTAAATTTAAAAGCCTTTCTTTTATCAAAAACACCAATTTTAATTATTTTATCAACAATATCAATTTTAAAATCTAAATATTCAACATTTAAGCAATTCTCATTGGTTTTCTTCAAAACCAAATCTTTAGCATAAAAACTATAAATAAAATTATAATTATCACAATTAAACAAAATCAGATCATCAATATATCTGAAAGCAATAAAATTCATTATATTCAGGAAATTTAGCTTCAAAAAAATGCAAAAAAATATTAGCAAAAGCACCAGAAAAGAAATTATTACCTTGTGGAATTCCAGTAATTTGTTTATAAAAATCTAGACCATTAAAAAGTACATTTTCAAAAAGATTAAACCTACACAAATCCAACCAATAAGATTTATCTATTTTCTCATTAAATAAATACTTATCATAAATGCCGTTACAAATTTCAATAATCTGTGCATGTGGAATACTTGTGTACAAATTTTCAAAATCAAAAGTATTAATGCTAGAAATATCATTATTATTAATATAATCCAAAACTTTAACATTACTGTTTATAACAATATTTTTCTCCTTTTTAATTTTAAGTAAAATAATTTTTAAAAAATTAAAAAACCTTTTTACTAATATAAGAATTGTAATAATTAGTACTACACGCAATAAACCTAAATTTAACTGAACTTTCATGAAATTTAACAATAGGAAATAAATATGGAAATGTAATCCCATTTAACCTAAATTTTAATTTTTTACTAAATGCAATAATTCTTTTTTCAATAACTTTCTTATCTTCTTTTAATTTTAAATAAGTATTATTTGCGTTATATTCTCCAATAATAAATTTAAAAAAAATATATATTTACACATAATACAAAAATTATTTGATGCTTTATCAACAACAGTAACAATAAATTTATCTTTAAGAATTTTAATATTCCTAGACAAATCATAATCAATAATAGTACCACTAGGATATGAACTAAAACTGGTATTAAATAAATTAAATTTAACTTTTTCAATTATTTTAGCTTTCCATTCTGAAAAACCCTCAATGGACCAATGGTATTTTCTGGAAATTTTTGCTATAAAAAAATCAAGATCCTTTTTAATGTATAAAATAAAATCTTCATTTTCATTTTAAATCTTGTCCTAAATTTTGAACCTTTACTTAAAATATTAATTAAATCTTGATCACCAACATTCTCCAAATTTTCCTTAATAATATGTCCATAATCATTATCAATATATTGAGAAAAATCCATTTCATTACAATAATAATCAAATTTAGAAATACAATTTAAATTTCAACTTAAAAAATTATAATTACATAGGGTGAACTAACCAGTGAAAGAACACTTAAGCTTTGCTTGCTTTTTAAAAAATCATATTAATTTCAAAATTCATAATTTTAGTTAAATGACAGTGTCAACATATTTGTTACTAATTGCAAATTATGTTAAAATTTTTTAGAGAACTTACATAATATTGTTTTAAAGTTTTGGAGGTTCAAATAACAAGTAGTAAGAAGACCAAGTGAAGGAACAGCTCTTACCAGTGAAGGAACACAAAATTGCACTGTAAAGGAACACTTAATTTTGGTTATTTTTTAATGCTCTTTATGAATTTAGTAGCCATACAAATATATAAAAACAAGACTTCAGGAAATTATAACATACAAGTACTTGTAAAATGCTAACTTTTTTCTGTAATTATGAACTAGACATTAAAGTGATGTTAAATACAAAATAAATATAAAAAAATCATTCTTTCTTATAATTTGACAGTCAAATCTAAATCGTGTCACCCGATGCTGTTTATTATCATTATTATTTTATCACCTTTTTGTTTACTCTTTTTCCTCTTATTTCTTGAAGCTTTTTTTCTTTTTTAAGTATTTTTTCTTTCTTTTTCTTTTCCATGTTCTCTTGTTTTAACTTTTTTTAGATCTTTCAGCCTCTTGAAATTTTGCCATTTCTCTGAAGTTAGTGCAAAAGGTAATTTATTCGTTTTTCTTCTTATATTTGACCTTTCTTTTTATCATCAATATTTGGCCAATGTAAATGGTTCTTCTAAGCTTCTTCTGATTTTTCAGCAACATTTCTAGAATGCCTTTCTCGAAAATAGACGGGGGAAAGGTGTCTTAAAAGTTTGAGGAAAATCCATCTCTTGTTGACTTATATCTAGAGGATCTTTAGAAGTACTGATTATACTTATAGAATCATTTCTTTTTTCAACTAAGATAGGATCAGCATGAGGACTCATTTCAAATTCGATATCTAAGATGCATTCATTATCAATACCAGCTTCAATTCCTAAGTTTGACTTAACCAAGTGGTCTTCTTTTAATACGTACTTCTTCCATATTGAAAAAAGTACAGGTTCTTGGACATTTTCGATATTAGACTTTTCAGTTAATGCTGCATTAAAAATTTGCAACGTATCTTGAGGGTTTTCCCTCTCAAGCTTCTGAAGAAATTGAGTATCATTTCTGTTTAACTCTGTTTTTTGTTGAGGAGCTTGCTTCTAAATTCTAACATAGTAAAGTAATTTTTATAAATTATATAATCGCATTGCTATCCTATAATGATAACTTATTAGGAGTTCTTGGTGCAAAAGCCAGCGAAAAAATTTTCTGTTCACATTTTTATGATTATATTTAATTAGTTTTCGATTTGTGAACATAGTTTATTAAGTTGCCTAACATTTGATGTAACTACACACCCCGTTAATAAATATAAATTATAATTTTTTCATAAATTAAGCTATTAAATTAACATTTTGAACTGAAATTATTTCAGGAATTATTCATACAATTTTTAACAAAATTTCGGTTGTCCTCTATATAGCAGAATTACTTATCCTAGAGTCATGTAAAATCATATATCACACATTACTGTTCATTCACTGGAAGTATTCCCAGTGTAGGAATATGCCTGTTTCTTCACTGGTTAGAAGCTGGTTTTTGTCTTTTAAACAGAATTTTGATGTATAATATGATTAAAAGTACAAGAAAATTAGAAAATTTCTTTTATTTTCATAAACTGGGGAGAAAAAAAAAACCAGTGAAGGAACACTTGTTCCTTCACTGGTTTTTCATCGTTTGGTGATCCAGTGAATAAACACCATGTGTTGTGTGTGGTGCTTTAAAAAAAAAAACGTAACTTCAATAACTATATTTTGAATTCTCTTTTTCACAGTGAGAAAAATAAGACTATTACATGCAATTAATTCCACTTGAAACATATAAATACAAACACTCACCTTATGATTTTTTCAACAAAACAAGGTGTTGCAGAGATAATAACAAATTCAAAAATTTTTCCAGAGAAGTCTATTTGACCAGGTAATCCAAAACATTGCTTGATGACTTCCTATTGTTTGGCAGTAAGCTATTGTTACCAATCATTCTAAGGAAAAACTTTCAAATTCTTAATTTTAATCAATATATATGAAATGTTCCTTCACTGGTTGGTTTACCTTACCTTTTTTCTAAGTGTAGAAGAATATTTATAAGCAGCTGAAACCTTAATTTTCTTTAAAGGAAAAAAAAACAGTAAGACCATGTATAACCTGTGGCAACTTAGAAATTTCAAATTTTTTATCATGAAAATTAATCGTACGAAAAGCCCTTTCAACACTAGAAACCTTAGTAAAGAACAAATCAGTTTTACTATCATCAAGTTTTGATTTAATCAAATCCAAAATAATAAATTTAATAAGTTCAGTATCAAATTTAATCTTTGAAACAAAATTAATAAGGAAACTTTTAAGAACTTTATTTTTAAAACCAAAAATATATTTCTTAATAATAAAAATATTATTCATATTATATTAATAATATATTGGATTATGTGGTTTTGGATTATATTAATAATAATGATATTTCTAGCATTAATACTTTTGATTTTGAAAATTTGTGCACAAGTATTCCACATGCCCAGATTATTGAAATTTGTAACGGCATTTATGATAAGTATTTATTTAATGAGAAAATAGATAAATCTTATTAGTTGGATTTATGTAGGTTTAGAGTTTCCTTTAGTTTATTAGTTTTAGAGTTGCCTTTGCATTTAGTTTGTTAGTGAAATCGCTGTTTGACCTGTTTAATGTGAGTTTTTATTTTCTCAAGATTTTGTTGAAATTTCTCTTCTGATTTGGTTTTATGTATTTCATGTATTTTTTCTTGGACTTTTACTGCTACTGAGAGAGTTAGTTTTGGCATTTGTCCTCTCTCTCAATAGAAAAGGTTTTGTTTTATGGCTTCCGAGGCCGGTACCCCCTGAAGACGTCGGCTTCAGTGGTCATATTTTTATTTCCTTATTTCCATTGTTTTCTTTATTGCTTCAACTGTAAATCACTATTTTTCTCTCAAATATCTGAAAACTACTTTATTTCACACTCATTTTGATTTTCTTAGACATGAACCGAAGGAGACTATTCTATTTCTGTCATCCAAATATTTTGATGTGTTTTCTTTTAAATAATATTAAATATAATATAGTTTTCTAATTATCTTTCTTTTTTTTATTTTACAACTTATATACATTTTATCTCCAATGATTTATTTATTTATTTTCATTTCCATTTGCATTCTACCTATTTTTAATTTTTAAAATGATTATTTTTTTAAAAAAAGATATGGAATTATTAATTAATTTACTATAAGCTGGCTAAAGATTTCAGGAGGATTAAGTTTGGTTATCAAAGGCTTAATTTAGGTCAAGTTAAATCTAATTAATGTAATTTCACTATTATGATCACAAGTATATTAGATTTGTTTTGAGATGAAAACGTTTTCTGTTTGTTAATAAACATAATTTTTTGTTATATTGTATTACTTAAACTCACACCCTGAATTTTATTGGCTAAAATCATATCATGGTGCGTTGCATTTTTAGAAAGTGATTAAAGGTGCTTATTTTCGTTTGTTAAAAGCCCTTAAAGGTACTTTTTTCATTGGGTGTTTTTAAAAAGTGTTTCATTTTCCATTTCGAAAAGGAGATTTCTTTTCTTTGCCGTGCCTATTATCACCATTTATTATGCAAAAGCTTGCTTTTCACATTTTTCCATTCAACGTTTTCACAATTCATTCAACCGCCATCCATTTCGGGGTATCGTCGGTCGGTAGCGTATGAAAGCACTAATCGTTTTACATGTTTGATGAAATACTTGCGAGTCCGCGTGTACTGAGCTGAATTCAGTGAGATTCTTGCTCTCTCATGTGCAACTCTACTGCATTTTGCAAGATATTCTCAATTTCAGGCTTCATTTTCAACCCTCTGATATTGAACCGAGAAGTCTCGTGATCATTTTATGATAGCTAATATAATAATAATAAAAAAGTGTTCATTGTCAGAAATTATTTATTTTATCATGATCATGTAAAGTCTTTGGAAATTATTTTGCATTTTATTAATGTATATAGTGCTTAAAAATATTTAAGTGCTTAAAGAGTGCTTGAAAGATGCTTATTTTTTGTTAAAAGATTTAACTATGTACCCTGCATATGCAGTGCCTACATATTACATAAACCTACTTAAAAAGGTCAGGATAGTTTTCTTTATTTTAGAAATTGTTTACCATATTTCGAGAAATGCTTCAAAAGGAATTATTTACATTAATAGTATTAATTTTTTTAATTGTTTAGAATTTTCAATTTAAAAAATTGCTTCATTAAAATGCAACTACTGGTCAGTATCCAAGTTTTTGTTTTCTATTGCTCTCATGCTATTTTTATACCTCACAAAGCAACTTTAGACAGTTTTTTTCAAGGTCTGTCTCAAAGGAAAACAATAAAAGCTGAGATCTGAAAAAAAAGGCTAAAGTTAAATTTATCACAAATGCAAAAACTTCTTTTTTATGAACGTATAAGCATATGAATATAATTATGCTTTGATGTTTAAAATTGCAAGAATTTCCAGTTTTGGTCAATATTCAAAAAGAAAAAAAAATTCACTAGAACTAGATTAGAACTACAATAAAGATTTAATAAATTTAAAAAAATTCTTGTATTATATTTTTACTCTATCAGAATTTTTTTACTCTTTGATCTGAAGAAAACTAAACTTTTGTACCATACAGGCTGTCTGTCGTATATACCGTTATGGGCAGAAGAAGCAGTGTCATATCTACCGCCTGGTTACTGACAACAGCTTAGAAAAAAGAATATATGACCGACAAGTGAATAAACAAGGAATGTCAGGTATGGTATGCTTAGTTTGAAAGTTATTGGATATACAGTGGTGTGCAGAGGTGTGACCGAGAGGGCAACAGTTGCACGCATCCACCCAAAAGGGCAATGAATAACTAATACTTTAAATCTATTGCTGTTATTTTATTACGAAATGATTTTCTTTATAGCCGCTCTTGTAAAACATCTTATGGATTATATGATTTTTCAAACTAATTAAATAATGAACTTTTCGGGCTGAGAATTCTTACAAAATGTTCATTACATATTTAAAAAAAATAGTGAACTAATTAGGAATATTGTCAACAAAATAATATGTTTTATTTTAGAATAACTGCTGTATGCAATTACATGGAAAATGAATTTAAACTATGTATTTAAAATTTTTTGTCTTTCTAGTTTTTTTTTGTTTGTCCCGCAGTGGGCTGATCGTATTGACACCGAGATCAGTAGAACACTGAGGTAGAGCATCACTGAGCAGTAAGCGCGTGTGTGTCCACTTTGATCAGCCTGCATAGGAACCAAGGGTGCACGATATCTGTTCTCGTTAAACTGTTCTACCGTAAAGTGCTCAATTTCGCTCGCAAGTCATCGGGCTACCAAAGCAGGGGAGCCATCCCCTGCAGAGGATCAAAATTGTCATGGCATGTCTTCGGATCATCCTCAGGGATGTTTCCCAGACCGTCGCCAATAGCTCATTATGCAACTCTAGTGCGACATAAATGAAGTTTCTCCCTACCTTCTTGTTTTTTTTTCTTCTTCAAAATTTAAATAGGGAACTTTAGGCTCACTCCTCCACACTTTAGAGGCATCTAATCTATTAGTTTATTCAGCACTGGGGTGGTGCAAATTTATATTAGAGAAATGGGGCTCTAATTTTTTATAAAAACAAAATGTCGTTCTTTTATCAATTAGAATATATTGGTTCTTTCATTAATATATTCTGCCTTTTGCCTAGAATAATACTCTATGAGGAGAGTGAAGCATTCCAAAAGAAAAGAATAGCGTGGGCAAGGGGGATACTGCACTTGGAAGAGATAGTGCTTTTTTTGGTGGGGAGGGGCATTTTTAAGGTACCTAAGTAGAAGACCTACACTAGCCTTCAAAACTGACAGAATTCAAGAAATTCAGTTCTACTGGTAATGCATCTGCTTATAGGAATTAAGTAAAACCATAAGAAAAGAAGTATCAGAAAAAACTTTTGAACTAGAACGAAAACTATTTTCTAAAATCTTGAATTAAATAAGTAAATGTAAATTTATGGAAAGTGGTAAAATTTTTTTAAAATTCATGATTGTACTTAAAATTAAACAGATATGTTAGAAACAGGGCTTGAAAAATCCCTTGAAACTATTGGGTTTTTGATGAAAACCTCAAGTTTTTTCAAAAATACTTTAAATTTTTTTCCTGAGTACTAAACTAGAAAGCATGATTTGCTTCTAACATGAAAGTTAAATATTTGGTAACTATTTATAATTTGTTTTGTTGCATTGTAATTTTTCTTTTAAGTTTTTGATTGTTACTCTGTTATTTTTATTTCTTAAAGATAAGCAGATTGTTACGTAAAATTTAAATCTACTCAATTAAAAGATTCTTAGATTTTATAGCTAATTCTGTTCAGTTAGCATTGCAACTAAATATACTGTTTTTAATTTTCATTAAATTTTTATTTGCAATAAAATTAGTTCATGTTTTTCTCTAGAATGTTTAGTAACATTATGTAAAGTTAATTCCTAATAACAGGTTTGGCTGGAAATCATTTTGTATAAAGTTCATCATAATAGTAAATATAACACATTTGCTGTTTGGTAATAATTTCAAAATTGTCAAGTTATTACCATTTTCAATATGTTTTTCAATATTTTTTTACAAAACGTTATCTGATAAGTTGATATTACAGGATTATTTTATAATAAAAGAATACCACTTTCAGTTTTAAACTGTTAATTTGCAATAAAAAAAAATATCAGATAATAATAATAGTAGTGAATATTAAGAATGATGGAGGATGAGAAAGAAATATTACAGTAGAGAACCAATTATCCGGGATGCTCGGGACCATCGCTATCCCGGATATCTGAATTTCCCGGTTTTCTGGATCGACAAAAAGTGTCGTTAATCGATGTTTTATCGAACCCGAAGTACAAGGAAAAAGTGTAATGCATAAAGTAAGAGAAAAAAGAAAGGTACTCCTAACTTTATAATGGATGGTTGG